TGAGGGGATCACTTGAGCCTAGGTGTTTGAGGCTGCAGTGAGCTATGATCATGGCGCTGCACTCCAGCAGTAAAAATACTCAAACCATCGAACTGGGCCAGGCGCGGTGGCTCATGCCTATAATCCCAGCACTTTGGGAGGCCAAGGTGAGAGGATTGCCTGGAGCCCACGGGTTCGAGACCAGCCTGGGCAACTTGGTGAGACCTCATCTCTACAATAAAGCAAAAAATTAGCCAGGCATGGTGGCTTGTGCCTGTAGTCCCAGCAACTTGGAAGGCTGAAGCAGAAGGATCGCCTGAGCCCAGCAGGTGGAGGCTGCAGTGGCTGTGAGCATGCCACTGTACTCCAGCCTGGGTGACAGAGTGAGACTCCAACTAAAAAAACCAAAAACCAAAAACCCAAAATCCATTTAACTGTGTGCTTTAGTTTTCGAGTCAGGGTTTCACTCTGTTGTCTAGGCTGAAATGCAGCGGCATGATCGTGGCTCACCTCAGCCTCAATATCCTGGGCTTAAGCGATCCTTCTGCCTCAGCCTCCTGAGTAGCTGAGACAGTAGACACGCACCACCACACCCAGAAATGTTTTTTATCCTTTTGTAGAGACAAGGCCTCACTATGTTGCCCAGACTGCTCTTAAACTCCTGGGCTCAAGTAATCCTCCCTCTTTGGTCTCCCAGAGTGCTGGGATTACAGGTGTGAGCCACCATGTGTGGCCTTAATTGTATACTTTAAATAGGTGAATTGTATGGTATGTGAATTATATCTTAGTAAAGCTGTAACCAAAAAAATAAATCAGCTATTTCAAAGAGAATCACACCATACCACCCACTCTACTCAAAATTCCCCACTGGCTCCCCAGTGCTCTAAGAATAAAAACCAAGTACCCCATGTGATCTAATCCTCCCACCCCCATCACTGCTACCTCTCTCCACCTGTTCCCCAAGTTCTGGCTATACTGACCCACCTTTTCCCTCTCAGGTTTCATAACTATTTCCTCCACTCAGACTCATCTTCTCATTCCATATATCTGGCTGCTTCTCACCCCTGGGATCTCAGTTTAAACATTACCACGGCCTTTCCTGACCAATTCGCTTAAGAGCATCCAGCAGTCCCTTCCTCTCTCTGTCATCACATGTCCTTCATAATCCTCATCACAACCCAAGTTACTCTGCTTGCTGAAGAAGTTAACAATCATCTCTCCTATGAGAATACAAGCAACACAAATTCTCTCTTACTTACCAAGGTAAAACCTAGTACCTAATAATGCCTTTGGCACAAAGTAGATGTTCAATAAAGATTTGTTAACTTCAGGTCTTACTGCAAAAGAATATTCCCAATCCATCTTTAAAATCAATAATGCTTCCTTGGTCATGAATATTTCGGGTAAAAACACAAAACACGACTCTATGATATTCTTCTTCACGTCCTGATGCTTCCTCTCCCCATCAGTCTCATCAATCCCATAAACCTGGAAGGTGACAGTTAGCCTTCACTGCTGACTGATGACATGCAACTGCCTCCTTGATGGGCAGTTTTTCAAAACTGGAACAAGGACCAAGATAACGTCTAAATCCCCCACTCAGTCCAATAATCACATGTCCCTGGAGTGCTCTGGCAACACTAATGTTGTCAGGATTCTCTCCAAAACCTCCAGGAAGCAATAATTAGTTTCCTAATTGTATGATCTATTTTTAAAGTCTGGCCTTATCTATTAATTCTTTAAGTGTTGAATTCTTATGAAGGGACATAATGGCATCGAGGCCGTCATTCATCTTTCGGATGAAATTCTGTCACTCCTTGTTTCCATCCCTGCTGGCCAGCCAGTGTTCACAAGCTGAAGCCCAACACAAACTTGTATCGTAACACAGCAGTCTGTCTCCAGCGTCATCTCGGGCCACTCTATCCACACACTCTGTTGCAGCCACAGGGAGGTTTCCATCACAGTCCCTGAACACGCCATGACTGGTATGTCTTCACAGAGTAAGGTCCCTTTCCACTCCTCCCCAATCCCCCATATATACCCTGTAAGACCTAGCTCTCTGTGGGGCACGGTGGCTCGCACCTGTAATCCCAGCACTTTGGGAGTAGAGGCGAGAGGATTGCCTGAATCTTTGGGTTTGCCACCAGCCTGGGCAACATGGTGAGATCTTGTCTCTAAGAAGAAGAAAAAAAGAACTAGCTCTCCTCCACCAGGAAGGCTTCACAGACTCCCTCAGATGCCTGATGGGGCCTCTGCTTTTACAGAACTCTTGAGGTCAGTTATCACACAGCACCATCATTACTTGTTTTCTATCTCTTTCCATGAACTCTCTCATCTTTGCCTATGTTCTTCTAGTCTATATACTTTGTAGTGCTTCTATAGACCAATATAGCATGGAATAATCAGTACTCAATACACATTCATTGAATTAACCTATCTCTCAAACACTGTGCTAGATTTCCCTAGCCCTAAATAGAAGACAGTGACAAAAAAATTCAGGTTTAAAAAAGACATTCATTTTAAACTGAATACATTTTGAGCAATGGCTTGCTTTTACCTTGGCAATTCAAAGTCACCAACTACTCCCTCTGACTCTATCAAGCTCTCTGTGCGTCACTCTAGAAGTCTCTCCATGCGCAATGCCAAAGTTTTGCATTATAACTGTTTCCTGATCTGTTTCTCATCTCAAGTTCAATCAATCTCTCTGGCTGATGCCTGTTTCCTTCTTTTCCCCTGAGTTCCAGTAGTTATTTTGTTCCAATTATACAGAGGCTATATGAAATGAGATCCCCCTCAAACTTGAAGAGTAACCTCTCTAAGAAAAAAATAGTGGGGAAAAATTTTAGTAAGAGCCAGTCTTCTATCGAAAGAGACACTGTGACCACAAATAACTTAAGCCTAGTAAGAGCTACTTACTAGTCACTCCTTCAAGAAGAGGGTTTTGTTGTTGTTGTTGTTTGTTTGTTTGTTTTTGAGTTGGAGTCTCACTCTGTCGCCCAGACTGGAGTGCAGTGGCCGCTCCCGGCCACCGCAACCTCGACTTGCTGAGCTTCGGCGATCCTTCCGCCTCATCCTTCCAAGTAGCTGGAACTACAGGCACGCGCTACCACGACTGGCTAATTTTTTATTTATTGTAGAGATGAGGTCTCGCCAAGTTGCCCAGGCAGGTCTCGAACCCGCGGGCCTGAGCCTCAGCCTCCCAAGGCGCGGGATTACAGGCTGAGCCACTGGGCCCGGCTGTTGTTTTTTTTTTAAAGCCAGGATCTCATTCTGTTGCCAACTGGAGTGCAGTGACACGATCACCAGTTCACTGCAGCCTTGACCTGTTGGGCTCAGATGATCCTTCTGCCTTAGACTCCTGGTTAATTTTTTTTTAATTTTATTTTTGTAGAGATAGGGTTGTACTATGTTTCCCAGGCTGTTCTTGAACTCCTGGGGTCAAGCAATCCTCTGGCCTTGGCCTCCCAAAGTGCTGGGATTACAGGCATGAGCCATCACGCTGGGCCAGAAGAGGATTATTCTTGTTCCATCTTCCCCACTGCTGGCTTCCAATTGGTCCTGAAGACTCAAGAAGAGCATCACCGCTACCTGCACTTGGTTCTCCTTCTGAAAGCTCAAAGGTCAGACTGTGAACTCCCCGAGGGCAGCGAATGGGTCTGCTGGCCCACCTCAGGATCCCTAGAACCTGGCACAGTGGCTGACACACCACAAACCCAAATAACTATGGACACTGAATGTAAGTCAGATTACCAGAAAAGCAAGGTCAGAGGTTTATCAAGGTACATTATAGCTAGGTGTGAGAAAAAGTCTTGCAGCTTAAAAGACCAAGAGATACTGGTGACCACAAGGTGGGCTTCATTGCCAGATTCTGCCCATGCCTGGGATCTGGGCTTGTGGGTTTCCCAGAAGTCCTTTCTTTAAAGTTTACATGATCTTGGCTAAAAGGAGGCAGTCAACCCCAAGAAGGCAGTCAACCCCAAGTGCAACTGATCACTCCAGGAGATGACAAAAGGGTGCACCCTGGTTGGTACCCCACATTCTGCCAACAGATGGAACAGAAGCAACAGAAGAGAATGAAATTCCTGAATCCCAGGGAGAAAGAGAGGAAGAAAAAAGAACAAGAAAAGAAGTGGAAGTAGAGGAGGAGAAACGACAGACAGACATACAGAAAGGTGACTAAAGGAATAAGAAAGGCTGGCACAGATATAGCTAATAGCAGTGGAGAGCGATCCTTTAAATCGAAATGCACCGCGTGCCAGGCGCTGTGCTTAACTTGGCATGCACTGACCCATTTAATCCTCTCTCCAAAACATGGTAGAAACTATTATCATCTCCATCCTCCTGATGATGGAGCCGAAGCTTAGTGAGGTCATGGCACTTGCCCCAAGCCCACAGCTAGGAAGGGGCAGCGCTTCGACCCCGGGTCGGACTCCTGAACACCCCATTCCTTAACCCTTACTATCTATTCTGCCTCCCGGGCCTTGAAACAGGGCTGCGAGAGGACTTATTATCCGCGTCTCCATTTAACGAACACTTACTGAGCACCAACTGGGTAAGTGTCAGGGCCTGCTGCCAGGCGCTGGTAGGCGGGTGTGAGGGACAGAGTTGGGGGTCGGGGGCCAGGTCGCAACATCAATGGTAAGACGCAGGAGCTCGGGGCCGCGCGGGTCAGCCCGGCAGAAGGGATGCGAGGGTGGGGCAGAAGGGGTGGAGCGAGGGGAGCTGGGCGCGCGAGGGCCTGAGGATGGTGCCGGAGGACCCCGCGAGGCCGAAGAGTGGTGGGCGGCCACTGCTCCCCTCCGCGGACCGCCGGCTGCTGGCCGGCGCCCCGTGTCTCGCCGTCTAGTCTCCGCCACTCCGCGCGGAGCAGGCCGGGGGGAATGGGGCGAACCGGGCCGTGGAGACCCTGAGGGGCCGCGGGGAGTGAAGGGCGGCCCGGGGCAGGCGTGAGCGGCGGCGGGCAGGCCGAGGAAGGGCGCGGGGCTGGGCAGCGGGGCCGCCCGCGGCGTCGCCGGACTCACCTCCCGCGGCAGCCCCACCGGACTTGTCGGCCCCGCCGGGCCGGAGGAGGCGGAGACGGACTCCAGGCCGCGGGGGCTGCCGGGAGCCCGTTCCCTCGGCAACGGGGCCGGCAACGGCACCGGCACCTGAGAGCAGCTGCTGGCTCCGCCGGGGGCTAGAGCGGCCGAGCCACAAGTGGCAGCGGGCGGGGCGGAAGTGACGCATGCTTCCGGCGGGAGTGGGCGGGGCTTCGGGTCTCCTTCCACGGATCTCTGCGGGCCGCATGGAAGGTTTGTGAGATGGGTCGCTTTCCCGGGGTGGGGAGGCCGTGAATGTTACGGCTTGGGCCCCAGGCTGGCCCAGGAGCCCCCCGGATTAAATGGGGGTCTGTGCCTTGCCCCAGCCTAGCCCGCTGGCTCGGCGCAGGCTCTGCGGTCTGTCCGGGAGAGAGTGGACGGGACAGTGTCTGCAAGAGTGTCAGCAGATCTGACACCCAAATTGTAGTTATCGTGACTTTAAATTAGCATTAACGGAGTTCATTGGCTCATTGGGTGACAAACCTTGCGTACCCAGCTCCTCCAGAAACCCTTCCCTCAACTCCCCTCAATCAGAATTACTCGGCTTCAGACCGTTCTGCTTGTGATGAAAACTAGCTTTCAGCGAGTGCTCACTGGGTGCCGAGAGGCCTCACGGTGGTCCCATGAAGTAATGTCAACTCCGTTTTGCAGATTGGAAGCTGAGGCTCGGAGGGGATAAAGTAAATTGCCTCTGAGCTGTACCTCACTCTGCCCTGTCCTGTGACTCTGATTACGGGTCACCCTAGCAACGGGTGAGTTTCTTGAAGTCAGTTACGTTTTTGGTTGCTAAATTAGTGCCGGACATGGGGCAGGCTGACCACGAATTAGATGTGATCCAGCCCTCAGGAGCCTCTGTTGTGGAAGAGAAACCGTTAGATGATTATGGAACAGGTAGTAAGAGCTACTGCTCCATTTAACATACTTTATGCAGCATCTACTGTGGGTGGATAGATAGCCTGAGAGGGTATAAGACATAGTTCCTGACCTGGTGGACTTTACAGTCTAGCAGGAAATACAGACATTGAACTAGCTGATATACTAAACTGGTGAATGTCATGAACAGAATTACAGGATGTCCCAGATATCTATTGTGGAGAGTTCTAACCCAACCTGGGGGAATTCAAGAAGGCTTCTTTGGAGAAATTTCTTCCTCCTTCCCTCCTTCCCTCTCCAGGGTCTCACTGTGTTGCCCAGGCTGGAGTGCAGTGGTATGGTCAAGGTCACCACAGCTTCGATCTGCTGGGCTCAGGTGATCCTTCTGCAAGCTCAGCCTTCCAAGTAGCTGGAATTACAGGCATGCGCCACCATGCCCTGCTAATTTTTTGATTTGTTGTAGAGATGAGATCTTGCCATGTTGCTCAGGCTGGTCTTGAAACCCTGAGCTCAGGCAGTCCTCTCGCCTCCACCTCCCAGAGTGCTGGGATTACAAGCATGAGCAACTGTGCCACATGGAGAAATTACTTTCTAAAGACCTAAATCAGATCATGACGATGCCCTCCTCAAAGCCTACTGCTTGCTCTCTATTGTATTTAGAATAAGCCTAAACTTATCATGGCCTCTAAGGTTCTAGTTGTCTGATCACATCCTCACCCACTACTTCCCCTCTGTCCTTTTCATTCTATCCACATTTGGTTATTTCTGTTTTTTGAACTCACCAAGCTTATTCTTGTATTAGAGCCCTTGCTGCTGATATGCCCTTCCTTTTTTCTGGCTTCTCATCATTCAGGTCTCAGCCTAAATGATACCCTCTCAGGAGGTCACACTAACACAAGACCCTATTTTATTTTCTACACACATTTAGCATGATCTGAACTGATCATGGTCATTTAATTGCTATTGTCTGCTTACCCTTTGGAAAGTAAGTTCCAGGCCAGGCACAATGACCCAAGACTGTAATCCCAGCACTTTGGGAGGCTGAGGCAAGAGAATTGCCTGAGCCCAGGGATTCAAGACCAGCCTGGGCAACTTGGTGAGACCTTGTCTCTACAACAAATTAAAAAATTAGCTAGGCATGGTAGCATGTGCCTGTGGTTCCAGCTACTTGGAAGGCTGAGGCGGAAGGATCGCCTGAGCCCAGCAGGTCGAGGCTGTGGTAGCTGTGAGTGTGCCACTGTACTCCAGCCTGGACGACAAAGTGAGACTCCAACTAAAAAAAAAAAAGATAGTTCAATGAGCATAGTCCTGGTCCATTTCATTCACTTGCTTACCCCCATGCCTGGTATATTATAATGAGCAAATATTAGTCAGCTGTCTAGGTAAAGAATGAATAAAAAGTCAATATTATATTTAAAAGTGGAGCCCTATAGTATACGAGGAGCTAACCATGTGAGTGGGATACTCTGACAGGAAGAATATTCCAGGTCAAAGTTAGAACTTGTACAGAGCCAGCACTGCAGCAGAAAGAGCAGGGGGGAGAGGATGAACCTGGAGAAGTGATGGCAGAGCTTGGGTGAGGCCCTTGGAATAACAGGTCAAATAGTGGATGCCTGCCACGTGCCAGGCCTTCGCAGTTTCACAAATATTCTCTAATCTCAATACCCTTATGAAGTAGATACTATTTTTATCCCCATTTCACAGGTGAAAATATTAAGACTCCAAGAGGTTCACCAAGATCTCACAGCTAGCAGAGCTGGGATTCAGATGCAGCCAGTGTGGTCTTTCAGACTCCAGACTACAAACCAAATAACTACTGTGTGTCCTGGATTCTTTTTTTTTTTTTCTTTGAGTTGGAGTCTTACTCTGTCACTCAGGCTGGAGGGCAGTGACATGCTCCCGACCACTGCAGCCTCGACCTGCTGAACTCAGGTGATCCTTCCGCCTCAGCCTTCCAAGTAGCTGGAACTACAGGCACGTGCCACCATGCCTGGCTAATTTTTTGATCTGGCCAAGTTGCCCAGGCTGGTCTTGAACCCGTGGGCTCAGGCAGTCCTCTTGCCTTCGTCTCCCAAGGTGCTGAGATTACAGGCATGAGCCAGTGCACCCAGCCGTGAATCTTAAAATGTAAAAAAAAAATTCTGTTGTGTCTTCTTCCAGGAACTTTCACATTCTTTCAGAGTTCATAGTTTCCACAGCATTTATTTGTCCATTGCATGTAGCATTTCAGATTCACCATTGAAAGTTATAAGGGCCAGGCTCAGTGGCTCAGCCTATAATCCCAGCACTTTGGGAGGCCAAGGCTAGTGGATTGCCTGAGCCCGCGGGTTCAAGACCAGTCCGGGCAACTTGGCGAGATCTCGTCTCTACAATAAATAAAAAATTATCTGGGCATGGTAGCGCATGCCTGTAGTTAGGCTGAGGTGGAAGGATTTCCAGAGCCCAGCAGGTAGATGCTGGGGTGGCCGTGAGCATGTCACTGCACTTCAGGCTGAGTGACAGAGTGAGACTCCAACTCAAAAAAAAACAAGAAAGAAAGTTTTAAGGACATTTGCCCTCTATGATTGTGTAATCCATATTAATTTTCTTTCTTTTACTCCTTATTAGCAAAGACTCTTGGATTTGTAACGCCCAGAAAACCTGTCTTATCTGTCAGTGCAAGAAAACTTAAGGACAATGCAGCTGATTGGCATAATTTAATCCTGAAATGGGAAACACTCAACGATGCGGGTTTTACCACTGCAAATAATATTGCCAACCTGAAAATGAGTTTATTGTAAGTATATATGGGTTCCTCACGCTCTGAGTCATACTCTGTCGCCAAGGCTGGAGTATAGTGGCACTCTCACGGTCACAACCTCGACCTGCTACGATCCTTCCGCCTCAGCCTTTCATGTAGCCGGAACTACAGGCACATGCTACCACACCTGGTTTATTTTTTGATTTATTGTAGAGATGAGGTCTCACCAAGTTGCCCAGGCTGGTATTGAATCCCTGAGCTCAGGCAATCCTCTCGTGTCAGCCTCCCAAAGTGCTGGGATTACAGGCTGAGCCACGGCACCTGGCCAGGTTTTTAAATTTTTGTTTTTGAGTCAGGATCTCACTCTGTCTCCCAGGCTGGAGTGCAGTGGCACAATCATGGCTCCCTGCAGCCTCAACCTCCTGGGCTCAGATGATCTTACTGCCTCAGCCTCCCAAGTCACTGGGACGCACCATGCCCAGCTAATTATTTGATTTTATTGTAGAGACAAGGTCTTGCTATATTAGCCAGGCTGGTCTCAAACTACTGAGCTCAAACAATCCTCCTACCTTGGCCTCCCAAAGTGTTGGGATTACAGGCGTGAGCCACCACGCCTGGCTTGAGCATTTCACCCTTAATGACTGGATAGAAGTTTCAGGGGAGTCTTTTAGAGTGGGAATTTGTCAACATGAATACGTTTTAAAGTAAGCTATTAGGCAAAAAAAAAAAAAAAAAAAGCAAATGGCAAAATGATACATGCAAGTATGGACTATATATGTACATTTTAAATACAAAACTATACATGTTGCTCATGATTACATCTGTTTATAAAATAATAAAAATAGATTGGAAGGGTATAGGCTCCATCCATGATTCTAGTATCTTCTAGGAAGGATGGGTGTGGGGGTGATAGGTTAATGGGACTTTACCTTCATGCTGTTGCATTTTATTCAGTAACTATTCCCCTGCCTTAACTTGGCTGTTTGGCCCAAGAGGCCTAGCTTTTGGCTTATCTCAGCTTTTAACATGCCTTCCTCACTAAGCTTAATCATTTCTCACTTTTGATTTAAAGTGAGAGACTTGAGATTCTACCTTTCACTTGAACCCTTAGAAGCTGTTGTAGGATTATTAACTGGCCTAATTTCAATATTCTTGTATCTCAGGGAATATGGAGGCCGAGGAGAGGGAGAGAAATGGGGGAACAGCCCGTCAGTGGTGCTCTCAGAAACACAACATTTATCAGTTAATCTTGCTGTCATATATGGGCATGGTTCAGGGCACCCTAAAACAAATATGCTAATAATGTCAAAGATCACTAATCACAGATAATAACTTAATAATAATGAAAAGCTTGAACTATTGTGAGGGCTACCAAAATGTGACACAGACATGAAGTGAGCACATGCTGTTGGAAATGTGACACTGATAGACTTGCTCGACAGAGTTGCCACAACCTCCAATTTGTAAAAAAATGCAATAACTGAAGCACAGTAAAATGAGATGTGCCTGCATTCCTAGATTGTGAACTCTTTGGGGAAATGACCCATGTCTTACTCATCTTCATACACCCAGCTTTATGCCAAGTATGCCACGTGATGAAACTTAACTAATTCTAGTGCAAAATTGAGTGACCAATGGACACATTTATTGCATATATAAGTAATAACTAAATTTGTACTATGACATGAAAGAATAATGCTTATGCAAAATATCTGACATAATTATATGAATATTGAGTTTTCTGGAATTTAGTATAACAAAATGAAGTAAGCTTAAAGAATCTACTTTGTACCCACTGTTTTCTGTTTTGTACAGGAATAAAGATAGGCTAGAATTAGAGAGTAGCAGCGCAGCTCCCAGTGAAAATGAAGAAAAGATATATCCGGAGTATAACAAGGAACTGGAGATGCTGTGTGAAGAACTGCAGGCCACCTTGGCTGGATTGGTAAGATCTAAAGTGATAGCCACCTGTGGTCACCATCACCGAACCTGATGGACTTAGTTGGGGTTTGACCGTCAGCAGCATTTGACACTGTTGGGGATTCTTTCTCTTTACCCTCCACCAACAATCTTGTCCTCTGCCTGCCAAATCTTGATGTCCCCCAAGATGCTGTCATAGACACTCGCTCCTCTTGTCCTATGCATTGTCCGGGACAATTTCACCCACTGCCAGGGCTCCACATAGTAAGCATTTTAGGCTCCATGGGCCCGACAATCTCTGTTGCAACTATTCAACTCTGCTACATGGAGCTAAACGTGACAATACACTAGTGAATGAATGCGGCTGTGTTCCAGAAGGATTTTATCTGTGGACAATGAAATTTGAATTTTGTACAATTTTCATGTGTCACAAAATGTTGTTATGCTTTTGCTTTTTTTCTACCACTGAAAAATGTAAAAATCAGCCGGGCTCGGTGGCTTAGCCTGTAATCCCGAGCCTTTGGGAGGCTGAGGTGAGTGGATTGCCTGAGCCCGTGGGTACGAGACCCACCTGGGCAGCGAGACCTCATCTCTACAATAAATAAAAAAAAAAATCAGCCGGGCGTGGTAGCGCATGCCTGTAATTCCGGCTACTTGGAAGTCGAGGCTGCGGTGGCCAGGAGCGGCCACTGCACTCCAGTCTGGGTGACAGAGTGAGACTCCAACTCAAAAAAAAAAAGTAAAAATCATTCTTAGCTTGTGGACCAGACAAAAATAGGCTTTGGGCCAGATTTGGCCTTTGGGTTTGTAGGTTGTACATCCCTGATATAGCACATAAGAGATTAACCTTTTTGTTTAATGAACTAATGACTGAATTTTAGTACCCACCATATTGGCCACCAGATGTGAATATTACAGCACTGCATTTCTTTGCCAGAGACAGGAAGTAAGGTTTTGTACATACTTGAACTTGGATAACTGAAGCTTACCTATGAACATATAAAATCTTTATGTTTTCACCTTTTTTTCGAGGATAGAAATGTTTCTGTGCTTCATTGCCTTTTAAACAATATTTGAACATAATTGTATTTCTTCAGTATATCACTTATGCAGATTTAGGATTCTACCTATTGTAAGTAAGATTATAAGATTAAAACAGCTTTCAAGCTGAGTGTGGTGGCTCACACCTATAACTCCAGTACTTTGGGAGGCTGAAGTGAGAGGATTGCATGAGTGTAGGAGTTTGAGATCAGCCTAGGTGACACAGCAAGACCTCATCTGTAGACAAAATTTAAAAAGTAGCCAGGCATGATGGCACTTGCCTTAGTCCCAGCTACTCAGGAGGCTGAGGCAGAAGGATCACTTAAGCCCAGGAGGTCAAGGCTGCAGTGCGTTGTGATTGTGCCACTGCACTCTAGCCTGGGTAGCAGAGTGAGACCCTGATTCAAAAAAAATAACTTTCAGGAAAGAAATTAAGATATATAGCTAGCCGGGCTCGGTGGCACAGCCTGTAATCCCGCGCCTTTGGGAGGCTGAGGTGAGTGGATTGCCTGAGCCCGCGGGTTTGAGACCCGCCTGGGCAGCGAGACCTCATCTCTACAATAAATCAGAAAATCAGCCGGGCGTGGTAGCGCATGCCTGTAATTCCGGCTACTTGGAAGGCTGAGGCGGAAGGA